GTCAGCCTGTTTAAGGTTCTGATATCTATTCTGTGTGACTGAAAGCAGTTATGATGTTGGAATTGAACTCAGGACCTTCTTGCTGTGCGGCAACAGTGCTAACCACCGTGCCATCGTGCTGCCCTTTTTTCTCACCCAATAAAGGAATATTTCATATATCAGTCGACTCTTCATTCTATCAGACACAGTTATCACAGCTCCTACATTTGCTTTTTACACATGTATGTAAACATTGAGCCAAATTTAGTACCAACATATTAAATGAACAATATTTGTCTCTTATATATAACACATCTATATATGCACTGTCAAAGATACTCGTCTTTGACTGAAGATTTAAGGTGATAGGAAATATAAATAACTGCAACTTGAATCTTTGACCCAGAATTCAAGCTCACTGCTGTAATATATCCTGTAATATATCTCATAATAATCTGACAATACTATAATATTGGCCATATTATATTTACATTGCCACAGTGAGATGACTTTAGTCTCATGAACAACATCAGCTAATTGTTATTTACTAACTAATCTTAAATGAGTGTTCAGCACAGAAATGAAGCCCAACTATCATGTTTACAGTCCCGTGGTCTCAGCCTCAGATACTCAGCTAATCACAGTGATGTCATGACAAAAATGAATGACCAACAAAACATTTTTCTCCTTCATTTCTGTCACACAAAGCTGTATGTAACGTTTCTCGCGGTTAGTATCATGGTTGCTAGGCAACCTGAACAGCGCGACGGAGGCCAGACCGTCCCATTTCACACGCCTCTCACTTCCGCACTTCTCGTACTTATAGTACGAACCGTGCGTACTGCGCGTACTTCAAGCGTGCAGACCCTGAATTGGGACACAGCCAGTGTATACAGACAGGAGGTGATGAGGGAAGTGGTCACAGCTGAGACAAATTAGGGGCGATGAGGCAGAGGGGAACAAAACAGAACACACTGAACACGGGACGCAAGACTGTCAAAGTAAAACAGGAAGCACAGAGACGCGGGCCTAAGACTCACACACCTGACATAACATTAGGGATAAAACAGGGAGGCAACGAGACGACAAGAAACACCAGGAGAGCAACACGGGAGGGAGAGGGAATCCAAACATGGAGACGAGACAGACAGAGGGGCGAGCGACACACACGGGCGACACGGAGTAAGGCAAACACACAAGACGAAGCTCAGGGAAACGCACAACACTAAACAGAGTTTACACAGGAACCAAATCATCCCCGTACACAGAGAATAACACAGCTCAGGACTTCACAATAAGCAGTGCTCTTCATTACTAAACTAATGATTTCTTAAAAAGAAACACACTTATTATTATTATAGGAAGCAGTTTGTTACAATATTACTAGTTATTTCTTAACATTACATGCACTGTCCCTTCATTTGTAGCTCACAATGTAAACCTCAGAATATCATCCCACACTGACTCAGGCTCCTACTGACACTCAGCTGATGTTCAATAACACAAAGCCATGAGCAAGTAGAATCTACAGTAGAGTCTACAGTAGAGTTTATAGTAGAGTCTACAGTAGAGTCTACAGTAGAGTTTATAGTAGAGTCTGCAGTAGAGTCTA